AGTCATAAATTGATTGTCCATTATTAATTTTTTATATCTGTAAAATAAATAAATATCATTTCATAACGTTGCTCTAAAAAAAAATCCACATTGAGAGAAAACTTGTTTATAAATACAAAGAGCAACACAATTTCTGATGTAAATGTATATAACGATAAAGCGTAATATTAGATTTTTTTACAAGCATATTTTGGTTTCTCATAATGATTATAGATGTAGTTTGTATGAGTGTATATTTAGTTAAGCTGTATTTAAAAATACATGAATAAATTAATTTATCGAGATTTCTTATTGAAAAATTTATATTATTTGTTTTTATAATAACTGTGTTTTGAAACAAGACTGTTATATTGAATTAGTCAAATAAACAATATAATAAATCCTTTCATATTATTTAATAAATTAGATTTCCATTTAATTTTTTAATAAAAAAGGTTTAATATAAGCTGTTATTTACAAATATTTGATACTCCATTTATAGAAATTGAGTTAAAAACCCTACTTGTTAACATTTATATGTATAGCTGTATTTAATTAAAAATTGCTTTGTTAAAAAGTTAATTTCTAAATCACTTTTTAGTTTACCTATCCAAACCACCGTTAAGAACCTTTGCTTTCTCGTTCGTCGGAAATCAGACGCACACATTTTTCTGTCTAGAAAGATTTCTTAAGAACTTGTTTACGAGTATTCTTTTGTCTCTAATTTAACAATTATCTGTAGAATAACTTGTGTAAATCAAAAATGTTTTTGTAGATAAACAAAAAAAAATTATTTATTTATTTAATATTCTATTTATATATAATATATTAACTATATATAGTAATCTAATTATGAAGTGAGCCATAATAAGAATGAAAGAAAAAAGACTCCAGCAAAATTTGTTTAGCTTAGATATAAAACAACAATGTTTCCATTATTTTTCAATGGAATAATTAGAATTTCTACATGATATAATAGAAAACCCACATAATTATACATTCTCAATTAAATTTTATAACACATTTACATTATTTGTATAAAATACACAAAAATTAAATGGAAGATTACAATTTTGACTAGAATAATAAATGACTACTAATAAAATACTATACATCATATTTTTCTTAGTGTGAATTTCTATTTTCTTTGGGCTTTGATAAAAGATACAATATGAGTAAATGTATAAATAAAAAGGACGTTTAGTGCTTTAAAAATTTTTACTTTAGATAATAATTTAGAATGAATTACATCAGATAAAATTCAACCAAGTTTTGTTATAATATTAACATAAAAAAAATCAATACCTTCTCAGCTTCTCATCAAAGCTAAAAATTAAACAGTTCATTCCATTATTATGAACTGTATAATTCATTTCTTTAGCTTTCAATTTATTAGTATGTATTTGACCTGAATGGGAGTAATTATTCAGGTTATTATTTTATAATAGAACTTAATTATACTTGAATGTATCGTTATATGCATTACATTTAATATCAAAAGGTTATGCAGTATATTTATGTATTTTTAAAACTGCTTGTTCAAGTATTGAACTTGGTTTTATCTATTATAAGTTTTTCCATGTGTGATATTATAAGCACAACGATCAGATATCGTAAGAAAGTTTAACGATATGTCAAAACTAAATCGAAAATGCAGGGAGTGTTCTATTGCCATCACGTCGAGTTTATTTGATTTATTATCGAGAAGTTAACATTTGATACTTAGCTTTATTGTAAAATGTTAGTATTAATATTGTATACTTTTATTTACCAATTCGAGTTGTCATTATTAAATAGCTAAATGGAAAAGGTATTAATAGACTATTTTATCTACTGTATTGAATTTGAAGTGGATGATAAATTACTATATTTAAATATAAATCTGATGATTGATTTTTTCTTCATTTCTTAAGCATTGGCTGGCGAACACATATGTATTTTGATCATCATGATCTTATGCTTACTTTTTTTTTTTAAATAATTCATTCGTCTCAACATGATGTTTATTGAACCAAATTTAATTTTATTATGAATATACATTTCGAGTTATTTAAAATTTTATCTTATAACCCCAATTATTTATTTTAATCGACTTCAACTCTGTTATTTTCCGACTCAATTAGGGTAAAATTAAAGTTTGAAATTGTGTTAAAACTTTTAACTTTTGACAAAAATTAAGAGTTATATAGAAACTTAAGTTTTCTTTTAATTCAAAATCAAAATAATTATTGACTTATTAATTACTTTCTTAAATTAGTTGTTAATTAAGGAAAAACGTAAGTGTATTAACTTTAAAAGTTCAATTCAATATATTTTTTAAAGAGCGTTGTTTTTAAAATCAAAATTTATGAGAAGTAAATGTTTTAAGATTTTATTATAACGTAATCAAAAGATTTGTTTAGAAAGACAATTAATCAAAATGGTCTCATAAAATAAGTTGGAGCTATTAATTGTGTTTTCTTATTGTAGTATTAATATGTATTTAGGTGTTAGTGTTTATAAATATAGTAAAATTAATAAAAGATGATTGTGAAAAGTTCAATTCAAGTCACAAGGCAAAAGACGACGAGAATTTTAATGTTCTTAATGCCTTAGAATGCGATGATTATTCATCGCTAGTGCTCATTGTTTGGTATTAGTTGTATTTGCCATACTAAGGCAAACATTGGTACTTACTATAAGCGAATAAAACAATAGTTTGCAAACGATCAACACAGTTAAATTTGTTCAAATATTGAAATACATGTCTTTTATGATGGGTGTTCAACATGGTTTCTGTAGTGACAGTATTATTTGAGATCTACACTAACATTAAATTATTAATATATATTAATGAAATAAGGAATTTGCATTTGATTGCAAATTGTTCTTTCGGTACATTAAAACTCTGTTCATACCCTCTGATTTATTAATATACTTATCCGATTGGCAGTTGAAGAACAGGTGCTCTAACAAACCTAAAAAATCTGAACATTTTTAATATTTAGAACCCGATCTAGAATAGGAATTTTTATTTTTACCATATGGAAATGAAGTCCCCACATGACAAAAATCATAAATATGTTTTTTAAAGGGGGTAAAAAAATTTCTTTAGTAAAATTTTTTAAAGATAAAACCCTGAGAATTAACCTGGTTTACGATTAATTTAATTTTTAAAAATTAGAAACGGGACTAATTTTCAAGAATCGGAACACATATATTAAATATAAAATAGTTCGAACTGAACCGGCACCATAAAATAATTTTTTGTGAATTCGAACCTTTAAAAAAACTATGATTCAAGTCCTTAAGGTTTATTATGTTTAAAGCTGAATCATAGGTTTTAACTTTATACATATTGAAATAACGCTAATCCTTATAATAATTCAAATTCAAAATAGTTTTATCTAAAATATGTTTTCAAGTTACGACATAATGTTTAATCTGTAGTAAAATACTTAAAACATAAAAACATTCTATTTCAAATTCTAATGCTTAGTAATTGTTAACCTATTGTAAAGATTACTTTGTACTATCGATGAATAGAAAATAATCAATAATAAAAATGGATATTTCTCTTGACTCAGTAGTAATACAAAATTTCATGAACATGTATAAAACTTAATAAAAAAGAATTTTAGTACTAACAAACTTCTTATAAAATTAAATTTTACAGATCCACGCTCAATGGTAATATTCTTAGAAATAAATGTCTTCTTTACCAATTCATTTTAAAACTTTATTAGGTTATTTTTATATTGTGTAATTCATGAATAATACTCGTGATGTTCAATTTCAAAATCATTATTGTGTTATTGTGGAGTTTATTTATAATTCCAAAGAGTAAGACACAATTAATTAAAAAATAAACTTATAAGCATTTTTGTTTGGCTGAGTTTTATTTGTTTGCGCTTTGGTGACAATAAATATTAAATTGTTATTACTATACTCCTATGGAGGCTAACGCCAGGGATAAAACAGTAATAAAAACTAACGCTAGTAGTTAAAATAGTTATATAACTGATACTCAAATATTTTAGTATAAAGTATTGTATTACAGCATGGCCTTTTATTTACACTTCACTGTACAGTGTCAAGCTGTTTCTCAAACTAATAGTAACATGAGAATGAAAACGATTGATGTTGACATAATGAAAATCTAATATTTCCTGAAAATGACAGGTCATTTTTTTTTTTAATTTTATATCAATAATTTTTGTACATTACCGAAGTAAAATTAATTTCGTGATTTTTTAGTTGTTAAAGATCATAAAAATACTAATATCACTGCGTCATTAAATCAATATTGATCGCTAATAAAGCCAATTTTTAGAAGTGGATACCTAAAAGAATTAATTTACTAATGTAAATGTGATGTAGAATTTAATTGAGAATGTATAATTATGGGGTGAAAGTATTTTTCTATTATATCATGTAAGAATTCTAATTATTCCATTAAAAAATAATTGAAACGTTGTTGTTTTATATCTAAGCTAAACAAAGTTTGCTGGGGTCTTTCTTTCTTTCTTATTATGGCTCACTTTATAATTAGATTACTATAGTTAATATTTTATATAAAAATAGAATATTAAATAAATAAATAATTTTTTTTGCTTATTCACAAAAATATGTTTAATTTACGTGTTTATAGCCATTTACAAGAGCTTCTTAAATATCTGATTCTTCAGAAAAGCAATTATTTTTAAATGGTGCTGCAAGGACAAAAGTATAATAAACAGTACGTGTACTAGTAATCGACATAGCTTATTGAAGCAAAACTGTAACGCATCTAAAGCAAATATTTAACAAAATATTTCAAGAAACTTTTGTATACTGAGGAGGTGATAGGAGATGTTGAAGGAAATACAGCTGATGATGGGGTGTCTCATTTTCCACCCACTGTTTCCATCGAAACTGATCGCAGTCGTTTTGGCGGATTATAGGTAACGTTGAAGAAAAAAGAAACATCGCTACTGGCGACGGCAGCGGTCAATATATTTTGTTTCCTTATCTGAGGTAAAAAAATGTAATAAAATATACTTTCTGGACAAATTCTACCATTTTAGATTACGTATCCAAGGGTTTTGGAATCTTTAGCAAGTTCAACAGCCAACTTCAATATATTATTGATTCGCTCTGGTTTTCGTTTTAGTATATTCACTCTTATTATTTTCATTCAATTTTTGAAAACTGTGAAGGATTTTTTATTATTAATTATTTTTATACATTTATTAAGACAATAAATTAAATTTATTGATACATTTGTAGTGATTTTTATGAATTATTCGCCTTTCAACAAAGCGTATTTGAGATTTTCGATTTCGCCATTTAAGACAGAACATGAATTGTTTTAGAATTTTAAAATGTAAATTTTAAATGGTACCACACATTTATTCGTTTCATTGGAATTTATCAAGTAATTTTTAGCTTTATAATTTCCTAAACTACTTGAAAGAATTTACTGTCCATGAAATAATTTTAGTTTAACTTATTTTTACGAATTACTATCGGTAATAATAACGCTTCACTTAAAATTAATCGTTCTAAGATTTATGTTAAACGCAATGTCTTAACACAGTTCAGTATAATGAACTTCGTTAAGATTCATAACATTGTAAACATATGCCTTCATTAAAATGTATAATTAATACAACGCAAAACTGAAGTATAGGAAAATTCATGTAGTATTAACACATCATATTACATGATATCACCTTTGAAAAAGACTTAACTATCAAGTACTAATTTCATAAGACTCGTATTTTATTTACATGTTAAATTAAAACTTATTTGGTATGAGCTCGTTATTTTAGTTGCTCTATGATATATACTTCAAGAATAAATAATCTCAATAAACTTATATAAATGCTTAAAATAGTTTTCAAGTACTTAAAATATTAATTCTTAAAGTCTTTTACATCATTTTATGTCTTCTTTTTCCTCGCCTTAATTCCCCAACTACTTGAGGTCGGCCTCTTCGTTTTATGCGAAAATATTAATTAGGTGAATTAAGTTTGTGTTATATTTTAATTGACTAACTTGATTAATATCATTGTCATATCTGAATATATTTTGGTTAACACTTTTCAGATACTCATATTACAGGTTTCTTTTTACCTTAAAATAAAATTAAAGTTATTTATCATTTTTATAAATAACGGCAAAAATATCGAATTGTAGTATAAAATAAATTGGACAAATGCTTATAAACATTTTTTTTTCTTAATTTATACTTTTGACATGACCTCTGCCGTAAGTTTACTATAAAGTTTTCAAAGTTACGACACAGACATTTGTCGAATAGTTAAGTTAGAACTCGTATTTTGCTTTAAAATAACATAATATAACTTACAGAATACTTGTTTCGGCAACCAAAATAAACTTAATAGTGTACATTTATTTTTTTATTCAATTTATATATAAATATATTTTAACTGAGCAAATATCGGTAAAAACTGTAAAATATCATTCAAATTTATTATTTTTTATGTTACTAAAATTAGCACAAATTTATCTTGAAAACATTTTTTTCATCTTCAGCATAGAAAAAAATGAATTTTAATTATAATATGTTAAAAGAAAATCAAAGTATACTACTATTAGATAAAATCTTAACACTGTGTTAGTTAATTAAAAGTTCACCTACATTAATTATTAATTTAACAAGTCAAACAGCAAAATATACATAGTACAAACTCGGACTGTAATTAATCTTTATACACGAGTATTTAAAACACTTGTAGAGCACAGTGTTGCAATAATAACGCATTAATTAACCACGTAGTATAGATCAAGCAGAACAACATGGTAATTAGTTAACATATATCGTACAAAGCGTTCTAAACTGGACAAAATGTCATAGAATGGTGTATTGAAATTAATGAGTTCTACATTTGCAAATGCGCCATAGAATTATTGCACTTTTAATAATATTTTTAAACAAATGTTTATTATTCTCGTTTTATTTTCATGGTTGCCAATTGCTAACTAGTAGATCTTTTGAACTAATTTTAATAATACAGACTTATTTCTTAGTAGTATAAACGAGATTGGGTGCATTACTCCACCGAGTAATGGATAACTTCATAAATAATGAAGTTACCCATAAAACATTATAGTGTAATATAATATTATGAATCATAATGTTATAGATTTATTCAGCGACTTATTACTATTTCCGTCATAGATTCAAAAACTGAAATTAAAAATAATATTTTTAATAACCATTTCATTGAAGTTCTATCTGCATGTAAGTTTTTACATTAATACTATGTTGTTGATAAATGTAATAATTAAATTATGCTGAATTTAGTAGTTAATATTTTAACGTTGAATAATAGTTAAGTAGAATAAACGAACAATAGAATATTTCTCATTAATTAAATTTTGTACAAGACGATTTTGTACAGTTAAAAAATACATGTACACTTCACCGAAAATATGACCATAAATTTCATAGACTTGTCTGAAATATATCCGTACAGACGTAATATCGTTTCACGTCTTTCGACCCGTTTCAGCTAACAAATTTCCTTTGAACGTCTCTTGACTGTTATCGGATTCTTTCCTCAGGGCGAATAGTTGTTCATACCGACTCCCCAGAGTACGTAGCTGCGCGTGATATCTTAAATAGGCCAAGTGCTTGTTCGTCCGAGTAATATAATAATAGTGTAGATCTCTATAATGTACTTTGAACTGGTAAACCTCTGATCACTGACTAAATCGAGGATTATTCCACCCATTCAAAATGAAATAATAGTAATAAGTGAATTTCCATTGATTGGATTTATGGCGACTGAAAAAAAAGACACGATCTCCTCGGTGACTATTGAGTTTTGCGCCCTACAGCCAAAAGCCCTTCTCCGCCAATGGATAAACATAAAGATGTACATGTATGGTCTATACGGCGGTGGGATTGGCAAGTAGTACACCGGCAAACAATACGTTTTATTACCCTATCCAATATAAAAGTTTATTTTCAAGTGGAACTTTGTGTTCACTCATTAAATCGGTTGTTGCCAAAGCAGATATTACCACTTCTATTACTACTATTATTACTAGATGGTTAACCAATGTTATTTTATAAATATAAAATGTTATCGAGTTCCATTAAATTAAAATAGGCTAAATGATTTATCTAATTATAAAACTTCACGTTATCAAATTTCTAGATATTTCGTAAAAACAATATTAGCTAATGTTAATAACGTGGTTATTATGGCGAATACAGTATATTATGTGAAGTCTGTTTTTATATTGGAAATTGTACAATAACACAATAATTTTACTGATTACTTTTTGTATTATTTTGCATTGATTCCCGTAACCTCTAGCTTATTATAATAATAATTTGTATTTTTTACTAATACGTTTTGCATAAATAGGACATTCCTTAAAAATTTTAAGCTAAGGTTTTAAGCTAATATCGGCGTTACGGAAAAATATAATTAAAATCCTGAAGAGAGATTGTTAAAAGTGTTCACATGAATAGTAAAGAAAACTTCTTTCATTAATACTGTAATTAAAACTGAATATATTTTAGTATTTAGCATTTTGTTAAACAAATAAAGTCCGTAACTTATCCGAATAATTTAAATAGAAAACGTTCAAATTTGTATGTGTAAAATATACTAATAATATCAATAAATAATTATCTGTAATTGGTCTCTCGGGTCCTTTAATATTTACCAAACCGCGATAGAGCCAATAAACAATACAAAAGTGTTTCAAATTTTATTTATTTAATGAACCCAGTGCGGCAATGATACAATAGTAAATGTTAAACTTATATATTTAATTTCATGCGACATTATTTTTTTATTGAGATTTTTAGACTGTTTTTAATTGTATAAGTACAAGAAGACAAATAGAATAAATTGTTTAATAGCTCGCTAAATGATTAATGTAACAGTTTTAATGACATGAGTGTAAAGTTATTCATGTTATTTTGCATTTTAAATACATTTTATCAACAAATAAAACAATTATTTCTTTGACTTCAAGTTAAATTATTAAACTTTAGGATAAAATGTATGTCTTCATACCTCATACTCATACTTAATGGATTTTTTCTTTTGTTATTTCGGTCACTTCAGCAAGTTAAATAATGCGGACTCTGGTCTAATCGGACACTGCCCAAGGCTTAACTAGTGGGTAATAAATAGACGGAAGAATGGTGAACTTCGTAGTGGTTGCTTTCATATAATAAATGTCTTTTGTATGAACCAACAAACGACCTATATAATAGAATGTGCAAGAACCAAAATTATTATTCCACATCCGTGCGTTTTAGTCAACTTATTATTGTTTACGGACAATTTGTACGGATATTTGTAATTAATATCAATCTTTAAAATTGTAACTTTGTTGCGCTTTTTGTAAAACCTTAAAAGCAATCATAGATTGGTCGGATATTGTAGACAGTTTGCTGGAATTATTTATACAAGTAATTTACAATGTTTAGTAATGAACGAATGTTCCAAGATTATTATTATGATGTAGGTTTTAACAACAGTCGTTATGAGTGTATATCTTAAGTATATTTACCAAACTATGACTGATAAAATTAAGTAGTTTGTGGAATGTCTGAACTTTACCTGACAGTCAATTTGACCAAAAGTACAATATTTAACTTTTATTAGTTTTAGTTAAATAAAAACGTTCAAACTACGTGGTAAAGATACATAAAATGTCTAAAATAATCATTAGTTGAAACAATAAGTACTACAAGAACAATTTTGAATGTTCCAAATGTCTCGTAAAACCTTATGGCCCGTGAAAATGAGCGTTGTTTGAGACTTTTTATTTAGTAACAATACTGACTATCAAATTGTTACTGCCGTTATGACTATTGTTATTATGAGCTATTTTTTTCTATGCATTTGTTTACCGTAGATTTACGAGTACAATCAAAAAAACAGTTAAGTCAGGACGCGGCACAATGGGGCAACCTGTCATAGATGAGACAAGTATAGATTGATATCTGACTGTGACTATAGCTGTATTTTTATTATGTTTAATCATGTCTAACGTCCTCTCTAAAAGCTATTGCTTTTGACGGAGAGGACGGAAAATCGTAGCTCAGCGACACGAAATCGAACTTTGGTACCGCCTACGCACCGAGTCACGACTCGTTACCGACTGACCTAGGCCGCTAAATAGTAATTAATATCACTATAATGTAATACCTCGGTGTGAATCTGTTAAATTTTTTATCGCGACTATTAATTTATATAAGAAAATCTCAAAAATCTTCATTATTTTACGTCAGCCCATTCAATCATTTAGATTCATAGAAAATAAAGGAGATAATTTAATAAACTAATGTTTTTAATAATTTAATTAAGTCTGAAATTTGTGGCCATTAAATTAGCATTGTGATTTTCATGGAAGGATTATGAATAATTGAATCTATCATTTGAGAAACAAAATACTCATTCAATTATGAAGTAAGTTTATATTTGGTATAGAATTTTAATATTAAGAATTTCACTTTAATATTGCAGACTTGTTTAATTATTTGTTTAGCCTATACCCTTCAGTTATACAATCAATTTATTTATGATGATCTAACGTGAAAATGAAGTACAAGACAATCATTTAATATTCTCATCGCTATGTTTTTCTGTATCTTTTTGGAAATAATGATATGTGTAGGTCTTGTCACCTGAATTTTCTAATAACTTTCTAATGAAAAAATGTTTGTACGACCTCTTTTAGCGTCGGGGTTAAAGTTATGGTCAAAATTTGTCCGATTCATAATAGTGAATGCATAATAAATTATATATAATCCGCAGTTTTAAGCATCTATTTGTTTCGGTACGATTTTAACATCACACTGAACCAATCATAAATCAGAAATAGTTTCGCCATTATACGAAAAATGTTTCTTCATTGAACTAAGTCATTTTTTTTAATTTTAGTCGATTATGTTTAGTATTTTTAGTGGGGTACATTGGGTCTAATATATAACACTTATTAAGCTCAACATTTTTCATTACAGCAATCCAGTACCTTATTATATTCCATCGTATAATAATTATTTCTAATTTTTTTTTACTTCTTAAAGCTTATGAAACTTCATTACAATGTAAAACTTTTATGTCAGTCTTTTTATTCGTAGCATTTATAGCTAAACAAATATTGATTACAAAATTATTTAGCCACCGATTTTCATATAAACAAATTTTAGGACATACTAATAGCTCGTACTAATGTATATTTATAATGAATACTCCAAAATAGACCGAAAATAAGTGATCAGTTAATGTCAGTATTAAACTTTGTAAGTTTTATAAGGTTTGGTAAAAGTTTTAAAAGCAATTTTCACAAGAATTTCGGTTTTTAAAATTATTAACTTTACAAATTCAAAAAAAAAAAAAATCTATATAGGTCAACTAACTGAAAAAACCGAAATCATTGCGGTTCCTAAATCTCATTATAACTTATTCATCTTTAAACGTGATTAACCATCTTTCTATTATTTTACTATACAACATAGATCTAATACTTTGTAATTAACAGACTTCTTCTTCTTCCATTCCATCCTTATCTCAACTACTTGGGGTCGGTCATTTCGTAATTAACAGTAATAAGAAAAAAGTAATACTAAAGTATACCAGAAGAAAGCTTCTTGTCTTTAGTATTGTTGATTTAAAGTTCATTAAGATATTTTAAAATTTAAGATATAGCCGTATTTAAAGTAAAAAAAACTTGAAAATCCGTCTTTACGATATTTTGTATATTATAACGAAACAAGACCAATTCAAAAGTTTGACCTCATATATAATAACATACAACGCTATTACCTACAAATTAGTTTCAATAACATAAATATGTATATAATGAGAAGAAGACAAACATAACTAGGAAGAATACTTTCTCGATTTGCTAAAAAATAGAAGATTTAGAAATTCAATTCTTTTACGTTTATATTATCAAAATTAGTTCAGTAATAGCTGAGTATTTTTTATTGATAAACACGTACAAAAATACAAATCATAGTCACTACTTTCTCAGCTTCGGATTAAAACTAAAATTGATCTATAAAATTTGACTATGAAAACATTTTCTTTTTCTTTATAGTAAATTTATTTTTTTGAAAAAAAATTACATTTGAGATCAAAATATTGATATTGTATAATCATGATTTACCTAATTTAAAACAATTTTATATGAATATAGTTATTATAATAATCATAATTATTAAACATCAATATGTCATAGAAATTAAGAAGTAAAAATATAATAAAATTCATGATACTACTTTTACGATAAATTATTTAAAAATTGAACTCAACATGACAAATTTAGAAACTATTTTTAAACGTTAGTATGTGTATTTTCACTTAAATTATTGAATTCAGAAATTCTTCCGAGTTTTAATCAAGTAAATAAAAAATAAAATACTTTTGATTTAACTATTTTAATAATCTAAGTTAAAACGCGTTGCCTTAAATTGTGCACATAAATACACAATTAAGATTCATTATTTAGAGAAATTAAATATTCGGGTGAAAATGTAAAGAATCATATATAAGTTTCTTAAGAAAAAAACTATTTTTAACACTAATGATTTCTTGTAATAATCATAGAAATATTACAAACATAAATAATAATTATAGTTGAACAGAATACTTCCCTGAACGCTCTGGAAAATTTTCTTTTTAATCGTTACACAACCTAAAATAAAAAATTATTAATAAATCTAAATCATGCACTTATATAATCTTTAATATTGGATGATTGTGAGTGAGATACATTTAATCTAAAAACCAACATTTTAATGTAAAAATATCTTTTTCAGTGTTTTTGTAATTTAACATAATTAGAAATTCTTCACAAAAAGTAAAATAAAATACAATACAATACAAAATGTGAGTACTTAAAAATATTTGGCATTAATTTTGTTTCCATTGAGCTGAGCAATATTTTTTATTTAATAAATAAATTGTAGAATAATTTTTTGATTTAATAAAATTATTCAAAAAAGTATTCCTAGGTACTTGAAAAGGTATTCTACACAATTGTGTTACTTACAGATATGCTTCATTTTTGACATCTAAAGAATGAATTATTAAGCAAATAATCATTTTGAAAACTTTAATAAAATTGTAGTTGAATGAAACAATACTTTTAATTTTTAATTGCTTTGTAACGTGAAAAACATCATGGAAACGGTCTAATAGAGAATAAAGAAAAGGAAAAAAGGAGTTTTTGGAATTTTCAAAATGATATATTTGAATTTTGTGAAATCTTGTGATAATTTGTAGCAATGTGTGAGCATTGCATTTGGATATACATTGTGGGAGTTTTCGTTTGGCTTGTTGGATTTCTTTTACTAGATTCCGTCATGCATTGACTAATGTACAATGTTTTTTTTTCTTAGTCAACTACTTACAACTTCCCTTTTTCTGTCAATCTATATCCTTTGTCGCTTTTGTTACCGTCATTGCGGATATTAACAAGAGCTTACACTCACATCCGCCACCTAACCTTTTATTTTTTCTACAATTCTCTGACCCATTGTCGATTTAAAGAAAATTATTAGAAACTAGTCTTTACATATATATTAATGTCCAAGTTATATATAGTTCTAGTAATGTTATACAAAATAATATCATTTATTCAAAATCAAATCTTTCAGTTATTTTACAAACTCAATAATTAGGTTAAAACAAAACTAATAAGTGATTCTTATAATACCATAATGTGTTGTTAGATTAATGTGATTATTGAATAAAATTAATACTATTGTCTCGATTTTTCTCGAGACATAATATAATAATAAATAATTATACAGAATGATTATTTTAACACTACCGATTTATATAACTCGATTTATTTAAAAATATTTTAATAAATTGTTTAATTACATATGTATCTTTATTTATCTGTTATTAAATAATATTTTGACCCATTCCTTATATATTATATGAGTATGAAAATTATTTTTTAAATGAACACGTTTAATAATAATGATTTTACATTTAAAAAATATAAAGTTAATTTAATTTAAATTAATTAAGAAAATGATAGGTTGATAAAATATATTATACAGTATAAAGGGCAGGCTTAAAAATTATTTTATAATAGATAAATATGTAACTTACAAAAACCAAAAATTTATACTATTTCAAGAGAAATCTAGTGGCTAGCGTTTAATAAATCACTCTGTATAATAAAAAAACTAATACAAACTAGCTAATTATAACTAACTAGTTTGTAAATAGTAGGCAGTATCTAATAAGCATTGAAAACAGCCATTCTGTTTTCGTATCTCAAATACAATTTTAAAGACTAAAGAGGCAGTATATATTTGACCTAAATTCCATGTCACGTTTGTTTCGTATGACAAATTGAATTACTAAATTACTTGTATCAAAAACAATATCTATTTTAAATGAGCTCTGTGTATTTCTCTTAAATGTGCTCTGACGCATTATCTTTAGATACATTACATGTCATAATTTTTATCTGAACATCAATTTAATGATAATTGTATTACATTGTGTGATCAAGGTCCACTTCAAAATACAGAATTGTTCACGTTGCACATATTCTTCTCAGTAATTGGGAGAGCTCTGATTTGAATGTATTTAGGTGTTCTAAAAATATGATTAAAATATTAGTCATTATATTAGTAATATAGTATTAGTCATTAATACTTATATATAAAAAATAAAATATAAAAGTTACAAATTTTTTTTTTAAATGGCAACATACGTATATAATGACCTAGATAGGAGCAGAATGGTTAACTAGAAAAATACATTTATAAAAACATCAGCACTTCACCTCTTACTATATTGCTACATCATTAATAACTTCCGAAATACTATCCTAAAATTGTTTTCAGCCAATATATTATTATTTAATGAATAAGCTAATTAATAATGCATATTCCCAATATTGCTTTCCTTATGAAACATCAGGCATGAAAATAAAAAATATTTCATGATTGACAAGTTAAGAAAAATATGTGGCTAAAAAAAACAAAACAACATTTTTAATATAATTTTTATTTTTCAATTGAGTAGTTCAGTATAAACACTGTAAATACTATTGTTTATTACAACAAAACAAATATTAAGTTATTCTTATTATAGAGTGAAGTATTAAAAAAATAATTGTATATTACACTCTTGAATAATATAATTTATTTGACTTAAAATGGATTAAAATTATTTTTATTGTTTTATTAATATTTTAATTAAAAAGCAGAGAAACAGAAAGGTTTTCAGATAACGTTATAACCTTCTGTAATTAAATAGAAAGTTAATATTAAAATTAGTCTTTAATCAATCGTATATAAATTACATACAGTTTTTAATCAGATTAAAAATACCATGTATCAAAGTATCCTAATTGACCTTTTAGATAACATGTATACTAATGCATTAAGAAATTTTAGTTTAAAGCAAAAATGAATTACAAGTTGAAAATTCCTGAAAAATATATTTTCGAATTTGAAATTAATATCTAACAAAATATTTATTGATTACTACAATATGAATATTATGCATTTCATTTTGAAACATTCTTAAAGCTTATACATTTATTGTGATGATATTACCAGACGTTTGTGTATGACAGCCTATGGTTAACTAAAACGCGTGATTATACAAAGCAGAAGATAGAAAAGGTCTGTAATAAAACCACGTGGTTTTCAATTCAACGAGAAAATTAATTATTTGATTAAAGCTTTAACAAATAACATTTCACCGTTGTTGTCTAAATGAATACTTTCCACAGTATAGGATACCAGCCACATCATTTTACTAATATTATTACTTAATTCAATTTTAGAACCTTTGTTTCAAATAATATAGGTAATTGTGTTTTATGGCCCATGGTCTACTTCATATACGCCTCACTGTTACAATCAAGCCCAAACAAACAACATTGTGTGTTTAAAAGCATCTGCTACATACTGGTACAACTTTGTGTACACGTGTTATTGTATGTAAAACTAGTGTTATTTTGTAATATGTTATTGTTTTTAATGTCTCGTAAAGATACAAAAAATTATTGTGTTATTTAGATCATTTTTTAAGAGTAACTTTACAAAACTAAGATTTTACTATACTTTTTTTAACGTTTCACATTCCTATAAAAAATTCAACTTGCTATAAAGTTTAAGAAACCCCGTTTTATAATATTATATTTAATAGTGAAAACTCGTTTGAATAAAGCCTCACGCTGTTGTCTCGTCTGTAAGCTGGCGACAGAAAGTTAACGTCACTCTTGCTATTTGGATAATTTTCTTTTTAAATGTTAACAAAACCTGAAAGTTATATAAAAATAAAACAAAAAACAATTTAAAACTATTTCGTTGTTCTAGGGAAATGAAAATAATTAATGTCACTAAATTGTGATCAAAATATAGTATAAGTTGAGCTGTCCTTAAAATTATAATTAATTTCGCAAAGAGTGACACAAAACTATGTTTAAGAAAAGAAAGAAAGAGAGAGGAAAACTAAATACTTTTTAGCTTTAAATGATGTTTTTACTATTATAAAAAAAAAAATTTTATATATGACGGCCTAATATTGTCTGCATATTAAGTAAAATATCTTCATAAAAAATATTACATTGTTTGTATGTAGAGAATATATTTAGAGCCACAATTGTTTCGCAGTTACTTCTTATGACTTCAAAAAATTTAAATAAAAACCAAAATGGTTCGCTAAAAGGATTACATGTATATACTATCAATTTCGATTTAAAGTATCATTCAAAATCAGATAACCAGACATTCAGCATTGGTTTCAAACATTAAATTTATTCACAAATTGTTAATAGATTAAATATCATGTACGTCTACTAAAATTATTAAGTTTTTTAAACACATACATTTTTGAAAAAGTAATACTTCTGGAAAACTACTCCCATGTTCTAAATCTTAAACCTTCCATATTTTATCACAAAATACATAGTTAAAAAGTAAAAAGGAAATATTTCTGAGTATCTTTCTTAAACAGTAATATTATTTGATAAAAATATTTTAGTAAAAAGATAAGTAAATAAACGATTTCAAAAAGAAAATATATATATTTGTTAGATAAAAATGAAGTTCCTTTAATAATGTTAGTAAACTAACTGTGCTTATTTGTTGTGAATATAACACGAATGTATGTTTCGATGATATGACAATATACGAATTTTTTCATATCAACCATATTATATCTTGAAGTAATTTTTTAATAAAAATTTATTTACATTATGTTTTAGAGATATTTTCAATTGATAGAATAATGATAATAATACTATACATTATATATAATGTGTAGTATATCAACCAATCGCTAATTTAGCGAATTAGAGAAGAATAAACAGAATATTTTCTGATGAAAGTAAAAAAATGATAAGTCAAATTTATCAAAAAAGATTTTTTTAGCAATTAAAACAGTCAATTTCCTTTAGATATTGTAATATTGTTTTTGGTCACCTGAAAATTAGCTTTACTTGAAATCAGCTTTTAGAAAATATTCACAGGGATTGTATACTATAACAAATTTGCTCACTTTATTATTATATAAGTTTTCAGATCTTATTTGACTTACTTAAACATTTTCAAAATTATATAACACCAAGTGTCAATAAAAGTAAATAAATACAATATACAACTGAAAAAGACCACAAATAAAAGGAAAATACAGTTAGGGATCCAGTAATGTGGAGTTGAAGTATTTTTTTAGGTTAGTACTGATTGATATTTGACAGTGATTAAAATAACTGTTGTAAAACACTTCATTGCGTATTTGAAATAAATTTAAGTTATTTACCAAAAATTACATGATTTTTTACTTGAGATATTGATTACTCATAGAGAATGAGCCACCGAAACGTTTTTTTTTAATCATAAATTACATTAAACAATATGTAATTTAAATAATTTTTATTGATATAAATATTCCGTCACTAAGTAAAATATTAAAAAATAGACTGTTTTTACCGAAAAAAATGTAAGATCTTGAAAATCAAGATTTCGGATAGTTTTTCTTTTTTCATCTCAAAGTCAATTATATTCAATTTAATTTTGAGTAAATTTAAAGAGCTCAAGTTCTTTAGTAAATTTTTGGAAATTATCGATAAAAATTTTGCAATAATTCGTTTAATTTTTCGAAACTTATTTCAATATAAAATGAAAACTTAAAATAATCTACATTGACTATTTTATAACAACTATAACTATTTGGGACATTTCTATTTACTACCGGGACTAAGGAGAATATTTCTAAACTACGACTCTGATAGATTTAACTACTATGATATTTTGATGTTCCGTTGCATATAATTGATCCAATAAAAATGGCATATAAAGACGAAAAAAAGTAAAACCAATAGTTTCCCAGCTATGCATCGAAGCTAATAATGAAAAAATGATGTATATATGTTAAAATGTATTTAAAATCCTATTATTTGAATAATGCAAAGTATAAATAAAATATATCCGAAGAACTACACTATTTTTTGGATCGATTATATAATTTTTTGTAACTATAAAAAAAAATTTAAATAACTGTAGACACTTTAAGATACATAAAAAAATGCATACTGTAAAGTATCTAATCTAGTTTAGATAAAAGGTTTTTTTTTTAAATTTTTATGAACAAAATTTAAACTATATAATCAATCTGCTTTGGTATAATTATCTCAATACTATAGCTGTCAGTTAAATATAAAATGATCTTTATCATAACGTACTTAGTTTTTTACACGATATAAGTTAGCGAATATACATATATGCTGAAAATATAATCTAAGGCACATTGTGAGTTTATAAGTATATAATAAAGTCATAATTGACAATAAACGCTCCGTATCTATGATAGCCACGTCATAAAAAACTAATTATCTACCTGTAATTGTAATCCCTTGTGTGTTATTACATGTGTTATATTACATGTATAATAGATAAAAAAGTTAAAACTATTAAATTTTTATCATTTTCTTTTTTTTTCTCGCCTGAATCACAACTACTTGGGGTCGGCCAATAACATTTTTTATCTAATAAACGAATAAAATTATATTAAAAACTCAATTACCATTTCCTATTAAAACAAAAACTCATACTCCTTTTCTTTTTCCTCTCCTTAATGCCAACTATTTGGGGTCGGCCCAACTAAGTTTTTTCAGGACTCCTTATACTTTTAGAAAAATATTTTTACGCCGGCTGTCGACCTGACGCAACCTCAAAAGTCGTCTCTTACGACTGGTAGAGGTGCCATGGAGGTATTCTTATCCCTTATCCACAGGAATAAAATAAAAAAATAAAAACTCAAACATTTTGTTAAATTTAAAATATGTTTCCCATTTGAAAAAACAAAATTAACACCCTTATAAGTCATAAGGGATGAACTTAAAAAATAACACATAGCTAATAATTGAAGAATAACATGTAACTAATAACAGTTAACTAAGAAAAAATTTTTTTTTTAATTATTTTTATTCTGTAAGTAACTAAGTAGTGCGTTTTGTCATAAAATCACTCTATATTTATATATATTATATTTGCATATATATATATTTTATTTTTTTTAGATACAAATAATTTTCAATTTTATAAGTAATATTATTTTATGTTCATCCCTTTTATGTCTTACATTTTATATTTTATTTTTTAAATGGCAAAATACATGTTTTACAAGCCTATAAAATAGAAAATTATGTAATTAAAAAATAATTGGTAAATAAACAATTTTTGGTATTATGGAAGTTACTAACATTTTTATACCCAAGTGAGAAGACGAGTGAGGTTGAGAAATGTCTTATGATAAAAATAGTAGCACCAGCTCTTTACCATTTAGTCATTATTTTAAATTGTTATTAACTTCTGAAACACTGGTCTAAAAGTTGTTATTAGTCATTTTCTCTACTTTAATTTGACACATTCACTACAATATTGAATGATACACGATTAGTTAAAAATAAAATTTAGATATCTACGATGTATTCAAATGTATTCATTTATAAATCGATT